GACATTGCACGATACCTAAAGAATCCAGTGGTAAAACAATCCCATTGTCGCATTTGTTACACTTCAGCGAGGACATGTGAGTGCCCAATTCCGTAGGATCTGAACATCGCGGGCACGCGCAAGCGAAGTGTTTGCCCTCGAGTAGGTGTTCTCTCCGTAGGATCGTCGGAAGTAATGAATGAGTGTAACTCGCGTAAAGTTCACCGCCCGCAGGAATTTTAAGTGTAGTACGCAGCCGTATCCTGTAGAATGGCGTGTATAATTGCTATTTGCATTTAATATGGAGTTATCTTCATCAGCATAATAAACCGTGTGAGATTTCCTGAAGGATCGCTCAGTGTGTAAATTAATTGAGGAAGGACTGTGCACGAGCATGTAACAAGTAAATAAAATGTTGTTGTTTAAGATACCGCGCTTAAATTTTTTGTTGATAGTAAATGTTTAGTATCTAGTATTATTACAAATGTTTAGTATCTAGTATTATTACAAAGAATTGCATTTTTATTTCATTAAGTAATTCATAGATAACGATTATTAATTGATGTACCTATAATCAACTGGCGATATGCTGTGAGATGTGTTAGAAACACATGAATGATTCATCATAGCAACTATTGGATAAAGACCACGTGCGCTGAATCCTTTCGCCGTCCGAACTTCGAACGTATTAATCTCCAAAATACCGCATATCGTTTGTATGTACTCCTCCGAGAATCTGCAAATATTTATTGACTGTTCCATTTCAAATAATACAATTCCACATTAAAACAATATTAAGCGGTTCCTAGACACACAATAATTTTGTACAGTATTATTGATGCCACTTTTAAATAATTTAAAACGAACAATTTAGAAGCTCAATAAATCTCCATACGATTAATAATATTACACAATATTAGATATTGTGTAACAATATTAATTGTTTAGGAACCGCTTTAGTAAAATGCCGCAATAAATATACCTATCAAGTTTGAGCCGTTTTCTCAAGTAATCTACGATATTGATTTGATCTGATTTCCACTGACTTTTTTGACATCTTGTTTTATTATGCGCTTCCATATCCTTTACCTCTTTATTCCATCTTTCGACGTTTCTCTCCGATTCCAACAATAGTCTCAACGGCGTTATGCATTCTAATTGCGGAACACCGTTTTCGCTATTCCCATCCAGCGCGGCGTCTACGTTAAACTTCTCGTTTGCCTGTGCAAACACCTGCCAAAGAAAATAGATCTTTAGATATGCAAAACACAATATCAAGAAGAAATAGACCTTTTGTAATTAAGGAAAGCTATAACTATATGCATTTATATTTATAACTATATATATTTATATAAATATAAAGATTAAAATGAGAATTATACTGCAAACTTTCCAATATTTTATAGCTCTTCACTTATTGAAAAGATTTACGATCACAATTTTTCGCAGAATTTGAGAAAATTTCGAAAAAAGCTCTTCAATTAAAATCTTATTTACCTGGCACTCGTAATCTTTATGTTGTGAAGCATTTTCGCATTCTTGACCACATATGGACCATCCGCACTTGGAACATAGCGGTTTGTCATTCGGTTTAGGAGGCCAAGGTGTAAAGCAGGAGAGACACAAGGGATATGTATATGCCTTCGGCCCAATGACAAAGGGCATTTCCGTGACGATTTCTTCACCAGCATATAGTTCTCTATTCGCGACCATATATCTGTCAAATTAAATGCAATTTTTTTTAATAAACACTTTAATAAAACATATGTGATCAAACATATGTGATTAAAATAATTAGAATCCAATTTAGAAAAGTGCTGATGTAATTTTCTTTGCCATCAAAGCAGATGTATTTCTTTTTAAAATCATGAACTTTTTAAATTCTATCTTTGGCAAATCTATTTTACTTTGCACATATCATATTTGGATGATTTTACAAGTTTATATTACCGTGTGAATTCCGTGTATTTATTAATTCCTCCGGTACCTTTGCAAATGTTTCATTTAATTCAGATTAAGCATAATGCATAAACCAAACAGCTTAATGCACTATGAGTTCTTATTAAGTTCTTATTAAGAATATTATACTTCCTCATTTAATTTAAAATTATTCGTAGACATCCCATTTTATCTCAGCTTTGAATTTATCAGCTCTTTCACTTTTTCTTACCTGCCAACTTGTTCATTTTGCAGCACTTTGTATGCTTGCGATGCAGATACGCCACTTTGCTAAAACAATCAGAAAACGAAATCGTGTGTTGCTAAAACTGAAATTATTATATCGTAAATTACACGGATTAATATTACAAATTTTAACATCTCTCGTGAAAATTATAAATAGATAAGAATATCTAAGATCGTAAAAATAATTAGGGTGTAAATTTCGTCAAACTCTAATTAACTCAATTAGCTGTTAATTCAATTAGCCAAATTTATTTGCTGTAAAATGTTTCTAGAATTTATCCTCCCTAATTTTCTTTACATAATCAAAAAATATAAAATATTTACTTAGTTCAAGTATCATTTGATAAGTTTTACACACACACGCACACACACACACACACACACGCGCGCGCGCGCGCACGCACGCACGCACGCACGCACGCACGCACGCGCGCGTATATATATATATATATAAAATTAAGTTAATTAGTTTGATTCAAGTATCACTGCGACATACCGATTCTTGCGACATGCTTAGTTGAGAATTAAGATAACGAGAAGCAATTAACTTCCTTCGTCGATGAGTTGTTGATACCACATCGATTAAAGACCCGTACTTGAACTGAGCCAGAGATCGTACTTACCAAAGGCTTTATATTCTTGACTTATTAAAAATATCGCACTTAAGCTCTATCAATAGTACAACCTACAGTTTCTACTAGACGAATAGTGAGATTTGTTTCGCAACTTTCGGATACGACATGTTGCGATCAGAAACGTTGTGACTACGCAGTCGATGTATTTTTGGGACTCCAAATGTACAGAAACATCCAAAAGCTGATCATTTTCCGCAGATCCATCGTGACTATGCATTATTTCAAACTGATAATAATGAATCTTTTCTTTTATATTTAAGGGAATCCTAACACATATTTTATTTCTAATAATAATTTTTGAAATTGACAATTATTAATAAAACCACATTAATTCTGTTACTACAAAGTACACAACCAAATCCTATAAAAAATATATTAATAACATAAAGTTTTATAATGTGCGTGTAAAATAATTTTATAAAAACTCAAGCAGAACAACAAATCATTATAACATTAAAAAGATATCAAAATGACTCCAAAATATTATTTATAATTCATTTTATCATCATTTTGATATTACCATGACTTGTTCTGCTTGAGAAGTTTTCTCTCTCTCTCTCTCTCTCTCTCTCTCTCTCTCTCTCTCTCTCTCTCATGAGAATCACTAAAAATATGAACAAAATAATTATCAACTTCAACATTTATTGCGGGACAGTAACTTTATCCGTATTTGAATCATTTATCTAATCTAAAAAATTATCATTTTATTTGAAAGCATCAAAACTCTGTTCGATCATCATTCAGTTTGATCATATGATCACATCTTTTCATCGTCATATTGTTGAGATTCTATCACAATGTTGGTGAACAATGATAATGCTAAAGAAAAATATTTTGAAATTTAAACAAAATTGTAACTTTTCAAATGAATTATTATAATAATCTTTTTTCAAAAATAGAAATAAATTTCTTAGTTTAAAAAATTATCATTTTAAAAACTTATATTAGAGATCTTATTTTTAAATTAAAGCGCATATTATTTGGTATACTATATAAAAACACTGTATACCAAAAACTTGACAAAAAGTCGAAAGGGATTCTAGTTATTTTTGTTTATAATTTTATTTTACGAAATTACAGTTTCTCGAATGTTAATGATCTGCCTTCTGACGTTCAATCATCTGCTGTAATCCGAGTAACTACCTAGATCGAATTTTCATATAATTATATTAATGTATTGACATATAAATCTATATAATATACATTGAAATATATAGTATTATACATATATAAATTTGCGCACTTATTGAAACATGTGAGAGATAAGATCCTAGCAAACGAGAATGAATTGAAATGGATTCAGATTCTCAGAAATATTGATTCATGAATGTTAAAATGAATGCTTTTCAATTCTGAATGTATTTTTATTTATTTATAGGAATTGCATGGAGCATATCTCTATGCCTTTCAATCTAAAAATAATATTAATTTTTTCTGTGCACACAAACACAATTGTGAATACTATTCAATTCAAATTTTGAATAGGAAATGCAGTTTTTCAATCCATACCATCCAATTGAATCTAATTGAATCTAATTAAGTCCAAAAAAAAGTATTCGCTATTTAAAATACGCATTCGGATAGAAAAAAAATTTCGATTCATTTTAATTCATTCTCGTTTGCTAGGATAGATTAGGATAAATTAGGACGATAAATTATATAATTTAGAAAAATTATAGGTAAATATGTAAATTAAGGGAGCCTCCCCCTTTACATATATAATAATATGAGTATGAAATTATAACATTATTGTTATTATGTTACTTTTAGTTTACAGGATAATTAAATTTAGAATTATAATTGTAGCTTAGAGAATTGTATAATTACAGAATTTTTTCTGTAAACAATTCTGCCTATAAAATTATTCCCAATTTAATCAAACCACTCAGCAGACACAGATTCGAACAGTTTGAACCGATCTGATTTTAGATCGAAGTCGAGCTCTGCGCTCGCGATTAATTAGATTAATACGAACATCTTCGCTCGGATTCGTCTGAATGCCCGAGGTGTTCGATAGTCCCGAGAACAGTGCAAACTCGCAGCTCAAACGTTTTCAGTTCGATCGCACAATTCAAATCCAAACGCCGATGCGGAACACTATCGTGCCGCCTCGCGCAGAAATAGGCTGGGTGCTTTTTCTCACACCACGTCGATACGCATGCGCATAGTCCATAGGTTGCGCACTCTTTCTTTCCCTGCTCTTTCCTGCTCTCTCCGTCTCGTCTCCTGCAACTGTTCGCAACGTTGTACGTATCTGTGAAAGAGTTGCGTCTCTCGTGTCTATCAGGACTGTAAGTATATCATTGCCTGGGAATTTAATCCCCACAATAAAAAATTCATCGCCAGGAGCCTCGAGATTCGCAAAATAGTCCGAGTAGAGTATCAAGCGCAAGAGAGAAGCTAGTCGAAAAGCACGTTCTCGGGAAACCGGCATGAAATGTCGCGATTACAATGTCGTCTGCCGTGGCTTGTGTGACGCATTTTTCAGCCAAACGTCAAGCGGGATTGGATTTTTCGAGAAGAGTCACGTTATCGGACGAATAAAGGCTGATTTCTTGACGTGCGACGACGTGTAGAGCGATTTCTAAGTTAGAATTCTGAACGATCGCGACATATCGGTTGGTCAAGCTTATGTAATACTTGCGAGACAGGTCAATACTATTCTATTCGTACGTGCATTGCGGCTCGTACCTCGTGATATCGTATCATCGTGAATTTATTTGCGTTAGAGTTTTGATGATAGTGACTTTCTTTTTATGATTTAGAAAGAGCCTCCCTTTTTTCCAGACCTACATCGTGGCATATTTCCATTCTCCCATGTGTAAATATTTTGCTTCATTCCTTGAATGGAATAATACATGTATATCATATAGAGCAGAGTACATTGTTGCATATGTATCTCGGATTAAATTTAGCCTGCTGTTTTATTATGGTTATCTATATCGAGCTCTCTGTCCTTTTTCAATCAGTTCTGGGCTAGCAATCAGATCTATTCATCAGTAGAGACTGGTCATTAAACAGATATTTTCATTTAACAGATATTTTATTGTAGAAGACATTGTAGAATATGACTCCTCCAACGTACAACGACCTAGGAAAGAGTGCCCGTGATGTATTTGGTCAAGGCTATCACTTTGGTCTGTTTAAACTGGATGTGAAAACTAAGACTAACTCTGATGTAGAGTTCTGTTGTGGTGGTGTGTCCAATCAGGACACCGGAAAGGTGTTTGGTAACTTGGAAACTAAATACAAGTTCAAGGAATATGGATTAACGTTTAGTGAAAAATGGAATACTGACAATACTCTCGGGACCGAAGTCACTCTTGCCAATAAATTACTCAATGGTCTCACAGTTGGCTACAGCTGTACTTTCTCCCCACAAACCGGGTAAGATATCTTTGCAAGTATCAAAAATTCAAATGATACTATAATTTATAATATTTGGATCTTTCATTTTTCTTCTGATATTTGCAGTTCCAAAACCGGAAAACTGAAGAGTACTTACAAACATGAAAATGTATCTGCGACTGCTGACTTTGATCTTAGTTTATCTGCTGGACCTTTAATTTATGCCTCGACTGTCGTAGGTTATCAAGGTAAGGTTTAATAGATATATCCTTTAATAACATTAAATATATAATTTTGACAATATTAATCAATCTTATTCTTTGACATAAAATTCTTGAAAAAAAAAAACTTTTAGATCTTTAATCTTCTATGTGCCTGTTCCTTTGTCCCAAACATATATTTCCTTTTGAACAAATTGAATGTTTTATGAATAAAAAAGTAAGCCTGTCATTTGATAAATGTTAATTATGTTATCTGAAAGTGTTTAAATCCATATATTGCTGTATTTTGCAGGATGGTTGGGCGGTTATCAGGCATCCTTTGACTCACAGAGAAACAAACTCACAAGGAATAATTTTGCTCTTGGATTTACTGCTTCTGATTTTACCCTTCATAGCGCCGTGTAAGTAATCACAAAAAGTGTGAGACTGTAAGACATTTATTCGATTTTATTAACATTTAAATAAAATATTTAATATATTTTAGGGATAATGGTCGTGAGTTTAATAGCTCCATTTATCATAAAATAAAACCGGATTTGGAAGGAGCAATCAATTTGGTATACAATTCCACTAATAATGTAACACAATTTGGTATTGGCGCAAAGTATAATCTTGATAATGATGCTAGCCTTAGAGCCAAAGTGAATTCTAATCTTCAAATAGGTTTGGGATATCAACAAAAATTGCGGAATGGTGAGTAATTATTTAAAAAATATTTTTGTTTAAAAGATTACTAGAAAAAGGTATCGTAAAATTTTCAATAAGTGCAAAATGCAACGTGAATCTGTTATAAATAATTTTATTTATAAATTCGAAAATTTTTAACATGTCACAATGTATAAGTATAATGAGAAAAAGCATATTTTTCGTTCAAGATATTAGCAAAATATCTATCTATTAATAACTTATATTCTGAGAATCACACTAAATAGAGAATAAACTTTTGGCAGAGTGACAACTTCACAATTGCTATAATAATTTTTGCAATATACAGTTATGAAGTTAAATAAGGATTTTTGATAATTATTAAGTTTATTAAATTAATAAATCTTTCCACAAAAGCAAATACATTATTATTCATATGTTAATAAACATCGCTAAATAACTGAATATTTACAGGTGTAACTTTGACACTTTCTACAAACATTGATGGGAAGAACTTTGGCTCTGGTGGCCACAAATATGGCGTTGCATTAGATCTTCAGGCATAAATACGTATCTTATAAAGTAATGCTTATTACTTCAAAAAAAAGCAAAAAATTTATCCCATAATAAATATTTTATGACCTTCGTGTCATAAAAAAATCGGCGTGACAGTACATGCTTCAAATAAAGTATATCTATAATATGTAGATAGATTGATCCTTGAATAGATTCCACAAAATATCATTTGAGATTAATTGACAAACACGTTAATTTATATTATACATAATTATGATCATGAATCAGTAACATTCATTTTTATCAGTATCATTATAAACAATATGAAATCGCAATTACGCATACAAGTTTGTACTGTCGTATTGGAGTTCTACACGCAATTTTTTTGTTAGTCCTGTTAAAATCCTTTTTATCAAAATCGAAAGTTACATTGAAGTACATACATTATTCTATATAATGTAAAATAAAACGAAAAAGAAAAGGCAATAGTAAAAATGATAAAAATTTAATAATAGATAAAAAGAAGGTATTTGTGACATGAACAATTTTCTTTGCTTGCTTTGCAGACAGTAAATATATTAAGAATATTTTTATGTTATACTTTTATGTTATTACTTTATATTTGCGATTATCACATTTATATGTGAAAAATATAATTTTCAAACAATATAAAATATTTTTATGAAATGTTATATTATTTTAATCAGATATCTAACTTTGTAAATCACTAATCTTATCTCTTGCTGGATAGGACCAGATTAGAATATATGACGTGCATATTTTATGCAATCAAATATTAATAACGATGCGATTGATTGATAGTAAATGTATGCAATTTTTTGATTTGATATTGTCATGTACTAATATAAAAATATGATGCCTTCTCTAATTCATATAAATAATGCAATTATTACTTGTATAGATTATAATTAGAACATGCCATTCTCTTGTTGGAATATCTAATCCTTGTTAAGAAATACTGCCAGTTTGGCTAAATTATGATGTCCTCAGATATTAACCAAAATATACTCCTTTATAAAACTTTCATTTGTAGTCACATATATAAATATTAAATGATAATGATCATATTTTCAAAAGACATACGTACTGCATATATGTATTGCATATATAATTCCACTGCTTTATTTTATATAGAAAATAATTGTTTGTGAGATAAAAGCGGCTTTTACTCTCTTTGATAATTATTATTACCAATTATGTATGGGTTCAGTAAAAAATGTTTTACGAAGTACGAATGTGATTTATTTACAAGAAGAACTTTGTTTTTTTTTCATCTACAATGATTTTATCTAAATCGACTGCAAATAAACAACCCTTTAACATTTCCTTTGAGTAAATTTGTATTGTGTGTGTGATAAAATTATATTAATTTTTTAGTTTTTTTGTTACAAAAAATTGTGGTAAAATTTTACAGCATTAAGGATGTAATACACATTTAACATATTTCAAATACACAATTGTAAAAACAATATGGATATACTTTTTGGACGAAAGATTTTATTTAAAAATCAAATTTAATGAATGATGTGCTTCAGACGATATTAGTATTTCAACAATGAGCTATATAAATATTTACTATTTTGGCTGGCTGTGTATCGTGTACATATTGTAAATGATTCCCGTATTCCTCATTTGACATTTCTGTGTTAAACAAAATCTATATTAATGCACCATCTGATCGTCCATTGCTTTTGCGATCCATTCTGGCTCTGTTTGAGCTATTTTCTCGATTATTTGATTCACTTGATAACATAGCGATTGTATTTGTTTGTCCCATGTCGGTAAGGTCTCACGTGCTGTATAGGAAAAGACATTAAATTCTAATTCTATATAAAGAGCAATACATACATTAAAAAATTTAAAGCAACTTACTTTCAAAATGTACTATGGAATCAATTTGATCTATATATCCATTCATTCTGCCTTCAGTAATCATTTGGCTAGCAATTTTTTCCGCTTTAGTAGGTGGAATATCCAACAATGCACCTAATTCTTCGAAGGAAATGTTGTTGTATAATTTACTAGCAGACAATAAATTATGCTCGATAACAGCACGATCAAGTATAGTGGAGCCTAATCCGTCGATAGTACATGCCTTCTGGTGAGGTTGCAATAATGCTTCAAATTCCTGCAGTTCAGAGCGCCGAATGATACGATCCAAATACATTTTCTCAAGAATTGAATAAGCAGGAAGTTGTTGACAGCGTTCATCTTTGAACAATGTGGCCAACATCCGACTTCTCTGTTGTCCTGTCAAAAAAAATCAATGTGAACAACACTCCAAAGAATAAAACATGTGCAATATTGATTAATCATTTACCTGCAGAAGCCAATACTGTGCAAATCAATGCATTTCTAAGAGCAGTCATGCGTTCATCTTCGTGAATAATGGACCTATATGATAACTCATTGTACCTCTGAGCAGCTTCTATAAACTTTCTTCTATAATCTAATACTCTTGCATAGCATACTTTGTAATAGATTTGTAACTGTTCATTTTTAGATTCGGCCTATAGAATGATAAAAAGTTAAATAACTGAAACATAAGAAAGTAAGTTAAAGAAATTATACCTGTAAAAGTGATGCTCGATTGATGAACGCTTCAGCCTGTACTGGATCATCATCTTCCAAATATAATCTTGCAATTTTAAGGTAAGTCTCGAGTTTGTAATCAACAGTATACTGCCTAAAACGATATTGATTACATAAAATTAATTTCATAATATCACATGTTCAAACAACAAGACTTGACATATGTATATATTACTTTTGCCCTGTTTCTAGTGGTATGCCAACTAAAACATTTGCAGCTTCTCGCCAGTTCTGATTACGTTCATAAATATCAGCTAAATGTTGTCTTATGCTAGCTACTTGTTCTTCAAAGGAAATCACACGTGGTTGAACCTACATAAACAATTATTTTAATCAAAGTACACTTTAATATATAAATTATGTTTATTTTTACTTCATGATCAATCAAAGAGATTTATTTACCTTGTCCAGTGTATAATGTGAAACAGCTTTTGATATCTCATCAGGCAAAAACAGTAAACGGCTACTGACATCAGTCAACACTTGTCTTGAAATAACTAGGCTCACGTTTTCGTTCACAACTATATAATAAAAATTTATCTAAACATATTGTTTCTTTCTGAATGTGGAATACATTCATGTATTGATAACATGCAAAATATAATACATCAATTATATGTATTGTGATGTTAAACTATGATCAGTATTCTAATTGTGTCCTAATTGTGTGTATTAAAAATAATTACATTATTATTACATGAATACTTTAACATTATATTACCTTAAGATAAAACAATATTAAATTGTTATTATAGATATATTTTGCAATCATAATATTCTTTCATGTGTCTATTTTTTAAATTCCAATCAGTCGAAAATAAATTTTCTTAAATGTTTGTTACAAATTTTGTTAATAAAAGGATTAACCAAAAATTATTTATAATTTTATATTCAATAATATCAGCAAATTGGTAGCAGATATTCAACAAAGGATACTTTCTATTTAATAACATAAATCGACAAACATCATTCTATCCAAAGGTTATGTATAAAAAAATTTAAACAATATAAGGTAACTGTCTAAAATTGATTTGCTTACTGCTTAAGTTTTTTGTGTATCATAGGCTTTAGCATTCTATGAATAACAAAGAATAAAAGCATACTGATGAGAAATTGTTGATAAAAATCATATAAAGTATGCTACAACTTGACAGCAAATTGATAGTAAGATTCAACTTTGCTTAGCTTTGTCAACAATGTGCTCTCACATCTGCAAATTTTGTCGAGACAAGACACAAATTTAATATGGACATAGTTGATACCAATTTGCTGAAATTTCTGATCGAATTTACCAACAATTTGTTGGCAAATTGCTAATATTTGACTAGCTGGGGACCATTCTGAAGGCTCTGCAATCCTCTTATAACCTGTCTGCGGTGTGTTAAATCCCGCAATGTTTCGGAATATTTTATAGATTCCACTTGATGTTTCTTTTGTATCCGCGAGTGTGAAGTGCCAGCGGGATAAAAATAACGTACTTGCTTCGATGAATGTCTTCAGAGCATCTACTAGCTCCTCGCCGGAAGATAACAATATCGAGTCCAGAGTTGCGCGGTATCTAAACAGAAACAGTTCGCCGTGAGTATACAATTGAATTGGAGCTTGATTATACTCGACGTACTTCTCGGCCTGATCTTTGTGGGAACCGCCGGAATGCGCCAAATTACTGAGTTGTTGACGCACGTAAGCCACCGTCACCACCATCTTCTCTCGCGATAATTTCACTTGCCACTGCTGCTGCTGCCGACTTCTTGAGTAGAGAAAGGCTCCGAGAGATGCTCACGGAATACGGACATGCTCGCGTTTCAGGCTTTCGTTTATCAGCGCCACAATGTATAAAGGTACTACTTAGTTGATGATATTTTTGAAGGATAACGTGCTAAATGTTTTTGGTTTCGTTCTGTACTACATCCACAAAGTAAATATCGATAATAATACCGTATATCTATTTTTAAACAAAAAAGCATTAAGTATAAATTACATAATAATTAATTAATCATGAGAAGAATTTGTCTATAAAATATTCCTAATATGGAAAATCTTTTGTTGCTCATATTTATTATTATATTTATTATTATT